TTTTTAAATATCTATTTATATCTGTTTTGAAATTAAAAATTACGTCTAACCAGTAACATATAACATTTATTTATATTTACGGAAAACATAAAATTTTTATTTACTTTAAATTTTAATTTATAATCCACAAATAAATTATGCAATTTCAGCTATTTACTTGATTATTTTTGTCAAAATATTTCATAGTTATTAGAAATCTAAAACAGATTTTTAATTTAACTTAAATCTTAAATTCTATATAAGTTTTTAAATTTTTATTATTTTAAAAATAAGTTTTAAACAGCAAATTATTATTGATTTAATTTATTAATATAGATATATTGTATTTAACTATTAATTGTTTTACTTGACTAATATCATTTAACACTATTGGATCCAGATGTTTATAATTTTGTGTTTATTTATATAATACACTATATTTAAATATAAATGGCTAGGAATTTATTGGATTCATCCCAAATAATAAGATAAAATCCTTGAATTGTATTTTTAAAATATTGTGCAAAAACTTTTCAATCAAATCAGAAATCTATGAATTTTTATTGTTAATAATTATTAACTCCTATTATAAACGAGTGGTTCATATATTTGTTAATTAAATACTTTGTTGTAATGAAACGCAAATATTATTCACAATACAATTGACAAGTGATTGATAGCTAATAAAATATACTTGATATTTTCAATAGTGTTTATATTACACTCTTTGAGTGCATTTATATAAATAATATTCCCCTCGAAAAAAGGACTGGAAGGTCAGGCACACTGAATATACTGAATACATGTTCAGTGCATTTACGGGGAAAATATGTTTATCACGAATAAGATATGCGATTCTCAATGCAAACGCCAATTCATTATAAGCGGTGTTAATGTCATTGAGAATCAGTATTAGTATTGAGTGTGAATTTTCTGTACGTTATTCTCAGTATCCGCTAATAATAGTGAGTCTGTGCTAAACACTGATACCAAATGAAACGGAAATTTTTATATTATAGCTAATAATACACTGTATAATAATATAGTGGAAAATATGTGTGAAAAAAGTGGATACGTTTGACAATAATTAGTGAATTGATTCTGCGTTTTATAGCGATATTTTCTAATACAGTGTATAATTTATTTGTTCATAGCACTTTTTGTTGTAGTACTTGTATATTTTTTTGTGAATTTAATATTTTTTATTTTTTATAATTTAACAAATTGTATGTTTTGCCAAAAATGGATGCAAACGATCCTATCCTGATCAGTAAAGTTAGGGATAAGTTTTGCGGTGAATTGAAGTCTCATCCGGATCTCTATGATGACTGCGATTTGCAGAGACTTATGTGCAATGATTGGTATATTAAGCGATTCCTGATGGCCACACAACTGGATGTGGACAATGCCTTTGCAATGGCCAGGGATGCCATGCGATGGAGAAAGTCTTACGGTGTGAATACGAGATCCGATGCCGACTTTCCCATTGAATTTTATGGTGCCGGTGCTATATTCCCATATTGTGCGGACAGGGAGGGCAGACCTATCGCCTATTTGAGAGTTAAGATATATAAGAGTTTCCCAAAGTTTTCGGACTATTTTAAGCAATTCTTTATACATATCATCAATAATATTGATACTCAACGGGAAGAAAATGGTATTTGATTTTATATTTTATATTAACATGATATAGTGTATTAATTTTTAATTAAAAATTATGTACTTAAAAATGAAATAAGTTAAAGTCAATACATACAAAATTTAATTAAAAATTTTTAGATTTTACAAAACTAGCAAAATATATCAGTTTTACATTTTATTTCCTTTATATAAGTTTTTAATTAAATTTACACATAAATTATATGAATTAAAATTAATGACTAAACCGTAAAATATAAATTACTAATTCATCTGAAAAAACATTTGCTTGAATAAAACCTTCAGTTTACTGTTGCTACGAGTTTTGAAAAATCTAATAAATGCATAAAATTACAATTAAACCCAATTATGCATAAAATAACTACAAAAACAAAAATACAATTATCATTGAATAGGTTGGGCGATGGTATGGGACTTAACGGGCGCTGGGCCTTCAAATTGGGACCTCTCGATGATTCGCTTTGTTATCTCCAGTTTCCGGCTATACTTCCCGAAAGGTATGCAGTATCTGGTGATATACGGCGTGCCATGGATTATGACTGCGTTTGTGAACATTGGGATGAAATTGTTGTCAGAAGAAGCGAGAAATAAAGTGATATTCGCCTCAAAGGACCAGATCTTCAGCCATATTGACCCCTCAAATGTGCCCGACTTTATGGGCGGTAAATGCGAGCAAAACTATAGGGATGTCCCTAAAGAGGTGGTCAGGGATTGCAGGGATTTGGGTGCAGAGCGCGGTATTAATAGCGATGAGATTGAGTCGGTTTTGAAGTTTATTGATAAGAATAATAATGTTTGAAGTTTTTTAGATTTTATAATTTTTTGTTCAATAGTTTAATTGCATGTTATTAATACAGTTTTTAATCACTGTTGACAGGACTAATTTGATAAGTTATCATTGTAAATAACTCCACATACCAGTACAGTTAGCCATTGCTAAAATTTATGTTTTAATAAGTATTTTTGAAATTTAATATAATATTTATGATAATGTTGGCTTTGGTAATTTTAATTTAAATCAAAAAGTCTCTTAAATCTGAAATCTATCTAAAATAGGAATATGATTATTGAAAATATAAAAAATATTAAATACTTAATTATTATTTATGTATTAAATAGTTACAGTCCTTGAGTATATTTGTGATTTTAAGTGCTTATGTTAATTATACCCTTAATAACCAAAATGAATATAAACTTATCAATAAAGTTAGGGATAAATTTAGCAGTGAATTCATCGGTATTTGTAAAATGACTGCCATTTTATTGTGTCTTTTTGATTTGATAAATTGTAATAATTAATAAATGAAATGTTCTGGATGTCAATATTATACACTACTGTAAATGGCATGCAATGGTAAAACTCATACCAAAAAAACATAAACAATAACAACTTATACGAAATAAGTTAATTTCAAAAAACTTTACCATGTATTTATTTTATGTATTATGTACTGTATTAAATATTCTACTCACATTTATTAATTTTTAAAACATTTTTACAAATTATACTTTTAAATTCATAATTGTCATTTTGACATTATGGTTTTTTTGTTACATTTATTTTACATATGTTTTAATTAAATAAACTTTTTAAACACATTAATTTCTCACAGTCACTTAATCATCAAGATAATTGTCGTAATATTTCAATATTTTGTTGATTTCATCCAAAGTAAACCCCATTTCAATGCCGATTTCCTTTGCATTTCTCGCACCGTCCGGTATTTGCCGATAATCTTGGGTACAGTTCCCGCCCATAAAGTCGGGCAGATTATCGGGTGCCACTAAACTGAACAATAGGACATCATTTGAAACAAACCTTATTTTACCCCTCATATCCTTTGGCGTGAAAGTCAGTTCAAACTTGATCAGGGTCCTTATTAAGGGTTTGGACCCATAAAGCATAAGGTACGCCATTCCCTCGGGAAAGTAGTTACGGATACTTGTCATCATAAACTTTAGAAACCACATTTGCCAGTTTGAGTGCCCGGCCCCTGTCATGTCCCATACCATAGCCCAACCTTTTTTTATATATAAAACAAATACTTATAATTACTTTTAAAAATAAATTAATAACTTTATCCTAAGTTAGTAGCTCTCTCTCTCTCTCTCTCTCTCTCTCTCTCTCTCTCTCAATCACTCACTCACTCACTCTCTATTCACTATTATTTATATATAATTTTATAGACTTAATCTTTACCTGCATTTTGTGTTTGTGAATCAATTTTATTAATCATATGAATGACAAATTGTCGCACAATTTGTGTCAATTTAGGGAAACTCTTAAACAACTTAAGCCTGGCGTATATGATAACCCTTCCCGCCCTGTCCACTGTATACGGGAAATATGCGCCCAACTTATAAAACTCGAGGGGAAAGTCGGTATCGTTTCGCATATTCACGCCGAAAGACTTTCTCCAAAGCATGGCATCCCTGGCCATACAGAAGGCGTTCTCAGCATTCAGTTTACCCACAATTAGGTATCTTTTGACTAACCAGTCGTTTTGCTTTAGGTTTTCCACATCACATCCATCATACAATTCTGGGTGCAAATTGAACTCATCCACCAACTTATCCCTTAAATTCACTATTAGTGTCGGATCGTATGAATTCATTATACGGCTTAAGGTTTTTAAATTACATTAATTATACATTTGTTTTATAGAAATTTATTTCAAAAGCATACTATGTTTATATGACTTTTTATTTACTATATGTTAGCAAAACAATTAAATATAAATTAATGAAACGATATTTAAACATGTTTATTTAATTTGATTGACAACACCGATAAGGCAATGAGTCAGGTGCTTTACAACGAATACAATTATTATTAAAATTTTTAAATTAAAAATGTATTTTAACATTATATTTTATTTATAATGGAGTGAATTTAAGCTTAAAATATTTTTCTATCATTTAAATAAACAATTTTTAAATTCAGCTTTTTTTGGTCACATTATTTAATCTTTGTCTAAAAATTCTTGAACTTTGATCTGAATTTGACATATATTTTACATTTTTATTCAAAATAACTATGGATATAATCAGTAAATAATAGGTACTTTTATATATCTTGTAGATAACACGGCATTGACTACCAATGTCTGACTGTACGCCTGAAACACAATACATACGTATTATTATCACTGAAATTAATATAATATTTACACCAAATATGTTTAATATATTATTAAAAACGCCATTTGTGTGGCTAATTAATTTGCACATAATTTTGAACAAGTGTTTTAAATTTAAAATACGTGTATTTGAATGAGACATAAGTTTTTTAGCATAAAATAAGTCTCAAATAAAGTCTAAAACTATTCAATGGACTCAAAGGATCCGATTCTGATCAGTAAAATCCGGGACCGGATCGCCGAGGAGGTGAACGCCCACCCGGAGCTGTACGACCGGTGCGATGCGGACCGGGTGTCGCGAAATGACTGGTCTATCGAGCGGTACCTACAGCTCAACAAATGCGATGTCGACCTGTCGTACCATATGGTGAGGGATGCCATGCGATGGCGTAAGTCGTATGGCGTGAACGCCAGGACTGATCTCGACTTTCCCATTGAGTTTCACAAAATCGGGGCTTTCTTTTCGTATGCCGTCGACCGCAACGGACGGCCTATTATTTATGGGAGGATTAAGTTATACAAGAATTTTCCCAAATTAGTCGATGTTATGAAGGAGTTTATCATTCATATTATCAACAGAATCGATGAACAGTCACAAGAATCGGGTAATGATTTTTGCATTATTTTAATTATTTAATTATTTTAGATGTAATGAGTGAGTGAGTGATGTGTGTGTGTGTGAGTGTGTGTGTGTGAGTGAGTGAGAGAGAGAGAGAGAGAGAGAGAGAGAGTTGCAAAATGTTTCGAAATTTTTAGTATTAAAAATATTTAATTAAATTTTTGTTAATTATTTTATTAATGAATGACAGGTTGGGGAATGGTATGGGACCTGCGAGGTGCGGGCCCCAGCAATTGGGACATATCGTTCCTGACGTTCATAATGGGAAGTCTGAAGAACTATTACCCCCGAGGAATGGCATACCTGTTGTGCTACGGCGTGAATGCCTTTATGAGTGGTTTCGTGAAATTGGGACTCAATTTGCTAAATGAAGAGTCGAGGAGTAAAATACATATTTTGAAAACCAATGAATTGCATGATTATATCGCACCCGACAATGTACCCGATTTTATGGGTGGGAAGTGCACCCAAAGCTACACACATGTACCGGATGGGGCCCGGGAGGCAACGGTGGTGGGCATTGAAAGGGGTTTCACTATGGATGAGATAAACAATGCCATGAAGTTTTATAATAAGTTTCTACAATAGACATTATTTATAATTGCTATTTTTAAGTTATTTTTAAAAGTAATTTTTTATTTTTAAAACAATTATTATTTAATGAATTAATTTATAAAGATGTTTTAAGCATAAAATAATTTGCTTGATGAGTGCACAGTAATTCAGCATAATATAACAATAATAGATACATTAATTTAATGTTTCCAAATGAAACGTGTTATAATAAATTTAATAATATTTTTATTATACTTATTTACTGTATGTATATCTTAACATAAATGTTAATGTTAATTAAATTTAATAACATTATTTGTAATATTTATTGATTTTCTTTGTTTAAGAAATTCACAATTCTATAATAATTACTAATAAAATAATATTACTGTATTTAATTGTTACAATAATTAATAATTGGTTTTTTGTATTGTAATACTAAAATGTATTTATTTAAAAAGTTAGCTAAATGAGTGGTTTTATATTTAAGTGTAAACTGAATTGATGTATATTAAGTAAAGCATTTACTAATTCTTATCAATTTTAATAAATTTAATAAATACATATTTCTCATCTATTGATTTTATATTAATGTATATACATTAAAATATTATATTTCAGCATTTGTATGCATTCATTTGAGTGCAACTCTTATTTTTGAAGATTATTATAAGTAAATGTTTTATAAATCGGATATTATTTATAATGAATGCGTTATTCAACGTGAAAATCAATGAACGTCATTTTGCGTGCAAAATGTTTAAAGTATGAAAAATACAACAATATTTTTAAAACATATTTCGTAGGCATAGAGTTTGCTCCCGGAGCTCGACCTTCGCCATAATTCATTATCTCATGATAGCCGTCATAATAACTGACCCATCAATCGATTTATACATAATGTTGTCTTTTATACAACCACTCTCTACCGGCAGCTACTGGTGCTCTCATTGTGCGGTTCAATATAATGCCATATAATATACTGTATATACGATTCTTTAATACCAGAATAATTGGGAGAAAAACATTTGTCTATTTCTTAATACAAATACTAGTAATTCCTTATAATACCGGTATATTAGACCATAAACTCTATGTGTATGTAATGTTTTATAAACCTTTACTTTCTTATAAAAAATATAATTCTTATATATTGTGTATTGATTCAAATGGTCACCAAAAAAGACATTATAGTTGTGTATTGCTTACCATTTGTAGTCAATAATATTTCTAGATACTTTGGCAATGTTTTCAGTGAAATATAGTTATTATCATTAATTATTTGTGTTAACAAGAAACAATAAATTATTTGATACACTATTTTGTTGAGAAAATATACTAGACAAATTGTAACTAATAATCAATGTTTACAAACTACTGACGATTCAGTGAATTCCCATTTCAAGTGTCAAACATATTAGTAAATAAATATCTCAATAGTTTTGGATTTAATTCTTTATTTACTTATATTTCGTAATACAGATGACATGAATCATAACATATTGTATATAAAGATGTCATTTGGTCGTAGAAAAGACATCGGAAAACACCGTTTATTTTGTGACAGGTCAGATATGTTTTTATTATTTATAGTATACACACCATAATTTAAAATATTTTATAGAATTTATTGATTTTATGCTCATAAATGTTATTTATTTTTAATTTGTAATTTATCTACTCTATCATATTTCCTATTTAAAAAATAATTGTAAATATTTAGTAATTTTTATAAATTATATTATAATTACTGTAATAGTAAATAGGTAAAGTTTATTATAATATTTATATTTATAAACCTTTTTAAAGAATTTTAAATAATAAACACAACCTTATACTTATGTGAACCTATTATATTTATTAATATTAATTGTACTTACTACCTACCCTACCCTCTCACTATATTTTATTAATAATTGTCTATCACAGCATATGAATCATAATTATTTTATGATTTAAGTTATTATGCTATCAGTAAATCGTAAATTATTTTAATAGCGAGATAAAAGAGATGGTAAATTGTTAACCAGATAAATCTACTCCTTGTTTGGATTTATGATAATAAAACATTTTATATTTCCAAATAATCGCAATAAATACTTGTGCAATTGGATTTACAATTATACACCTATTTTGAAATTAATTTTTATCCACGTTTAATGAGATGTTAATGAAATGCAAATTATTTAATTAAAATTGTGTTAATTCATAGCCTCTAAAGCACATCCTATAAAATTGATGATTAATTTTTCACACCAAATGAATTTATTTATTAATTGTTTTGATTAAAATACTGTTTACCTGTCGTAATAATTATTACAAAATGTAGACTAAATATGCGATGAGATATAGCAATAAAATAATAATCATTATTATTATATATATATTTATTTATCTAGAAAGTCGGATAAAATATATGAGCAAAGGATCTGCAAAATTCTTGTTACATATACTGTATATAATATATATATATTCATCAAAGTATGTCATTATACAGTGTAAACCGTATATTTAATTTCAGGGAAAAGTAATGAAATTCTTATCGCAAAAAAATATAATAGGATTTTTATAGTTATTTTTTATTTCATATTACAGTCTATACTAAACTCGAGAGAATTGGTTTGATTTTATAATTTCTCTGTACATAAGAATCGCTGATTCATGAAAATTATTTGCACTCATTATAATGAATTTTGTTGAAATAATTAATTATTGAGTATTTAAAGTATTGAACTTATATCGAGACATTTATTACGACAGTAGTAAAAGTTTTTTGTATTGTGTTTTATAGTGTAACTATTTTTACTGTCAAAATGTTTTGAGAAAACTTTGAAACCAAACAAAAAAGTTTGGATTTAAATATATTGCTATTAAACCATAGGCTTAGAGATGGCTAAGAGGAATGGTAAGCCGCCTAACCTCGTAATGAACCACAAGTCACCTACATCTCCAACCACACCAACCATCGCGAGACTTAAAGGTCTGGACTCTACGGGATCCGCACCGCCCACCCCCTCCCTAAACGTCAACCGTTTGGCGTACAATGTCTCGCAGTTTAACGAAGACTTTATACCCATTCCGACGACAACGGAGGAGAAGATCCGGAAGTTTAAGCCCGACGTCTCCCGAAACGCGTGGATCAGGCGTTTGAAAGGACTCCTACCCATCAGTCTATGGCTACCGGAGTATAAATATAAGGAGAATCTGTTAACAGATATTATTGTCGGCATTACTGTCGCTATATTTCAAGTGCCACAAAGTTAGCCATTATTTTTGAACTAGACATAATGTTTAGTATCCAGTTTAATATACTAATTGTACACACTTTCCATAAGGTATGGGCTATTGTCTGATAGCACACGTGCCGCCAATCTATGGCCTGTACTCAGCCTTCTTCCCGGCCCTCTTCTACACCCTATTCGGCACAGGATTTCACTCGGCTTTCGGTCCCTTCGC